CGACAGGGGGGATTGACCTTGGGGGGGGGGCGGCAGGGGGTGGACGGCCGAGCGGGCTGCTCTACAAGTGATCTGGGTGGATCACTAGTACTAAACAAGCAGCCCAAAACTATTTATACATCTAAAGAGCTGGCATCGGCGATATATAACGGGGGTTACTAGTAGCGGTATTGGTGCATCCCTAATACTATGTATAAGCAAATGATTATCATGTGTATGTAATATAATAATTCAGGAAGTTGGTTGCTTTATTATCCTTCTTTCTGTATGTTAGACACAGGCCATATAAGCACTAAAAAAAAAGTCTGACAAAGCAGATTACAATCTGCGAAACACTTACTAAGTACCAAGTCCTTCTTCATACTGTACATCGATATTTGTGCGACTGGAGGATTACCCTGAGATCTTGGACTCTGCATATTCTAATCTACATGAACAATTGGACGGCGGTGCAAAGTGCTAAGTTGTACAGGGGCGTATTTACCTGCCGAAGCTTGGCTTGCCTAGGGCAGCCAAATACATAAATACACCACTGAAGTTGTATTCAGAAATTGTTTGGAGCATTCATTTTAACACTTGATTTTATATGGATGATTTTTATATTCATTGTTATGAAATAAAGATAGTATATTTTTGTATATATGTTCTTATGTAGATACATGTTTATTTTAAACACCTATAGAGTCCATCTATGTTTGCTTTTTTAGAAAACAAAGTTAGTGTTCATGTGTTGTAAAGTAGCCACCATTTCAAGCTTGCTCCCATGATGGACTACAATCTCACCTTTAGTTTACTAATTTGTATTGAGATTGTAGTCCATCAAGGGAGTGGATTTGGAGTGGTGGCTACTTTACAACACACACAAGGAGCATGGGGAACAAATGTAGCCACCCTCCAGAAGGAAGGACAGTGTCAGCACCAATTCAGAGGATCTGAGATTGGGGATATACAGCCGAGTGATACACAAATAAGATACATTTTTGTTAATAATTAGGGTACTTGAATGCATTTTTAAGGTTTAAATTCTAAATTTAGTGTCACTTTATTTGAATACTAAAACCTAACCAATCCCCTAAAATTAACATTTAAACTCCCCTTTATACCTTAATCTAAGCCTAAAACATAAGAATCTCTAAAATTGTATAATTATGTAATCGATGCTGAAAGCAGCCCATACCACATCTATATAGTTATTGCAGTGAGATGTTCGCAGGAAGACTGAATCCTTCAGGCATTAGAAACTGACAATATACAGTAATATAAATAGCACATTTAGGTCACAAACTATTTTACACCCTACAATATGCTGAGACAAGCAACACTCACTTGTCCCAATGACTGATCCACAGAAGTGCAGGTTGTCTGCCAGCCACCCACTTAGTGTGTCACCCAGGCCCATGTATCGTTTTGTCTTGTCTGTGTATTTGTTCACCAAATCTTTGTTGTTTTCCCAGAAAAGGGACTATAATAGATAAATAAGATGAGATATTCATGCTTTTGTATGCAAAACAATGTTAAAAAAAAGCATCAAATCTGGGTACATTAACTTGCCGCCACCCAACCACCAACATGTACCCTAAAATGTTATATTTTTATACAAAGTGTCACCAGAGTTGTAACTACAGATCATGGGGTCCCATAGCAAAATTTTGATGGGACCCCCCGATGACCTCTCTCTCTGTAGCACCTGGCAATATATAGAATGCCTAAATCAAGGTCCATAGGCCGGAGAGCTGTCAGCATAGTCAGCACACTACTAAGGATTAGTAATGTGCGGAGGCTTGGGGCAAACCTAATTCGCCGGAGTTTACCCAAGCCCATGCAAAACTTTGACTGACATGCCCTTTCCTGACCCAGTCATTTGCGGCAGGGGCATTCCCCAACCCTTTGTGACATGTAGCCCTCCTTACCTTCTTTTCTTGACCTGTATTGTAACTGTAATGTCTTTGTTATATTGTAAAGTGCTGCGCAAACTGTTGGTGCTATATAAATCCTGTATAATAATAATAATAATAATGTAACTATGGGGCGGGGAATGTCCCGACCGCAACAGATTTGGTCAGGTAAGAGGGGTGTATTAGTCAGTTTTGAACTGGCTTGGTCGAACTCTGGCGAACTGGGTTTACACCAGGCCCCTGCACATAACTACTAGGCACCAGTGCTTTGGTATACATTTTCAGGTAATAGGGTGCATTTTATATCAAACTACCCGGTCAGTACTCAATAGCTCTCCAATCTTTTTTAGCATATCAGATCTAAGATACTGCAGACATAGCCCCATTCACACCAGAGCATTTGGTTGTGCATTTCCAAAGCATGACAATGCTCAACATGCAGAATCCCAATTATTTGTAATGGTGTCCAATCACTCCTGAGCGCTGTGTTGCTTGTCATTGTAAAAATGACATGGTCTTCTTTCAGGCAGAAGTGTGGGTTTTTGGCCCCACAGACTTCAAATGTGCACCTAACAACTGTCTCCTCCTCCTAGTAACTAGCTTTCCATTGTCTGAAACAAAATTGCTTAAGCCTGAAAATACCTAAAAATTGCATAAAAAAATGCATCCAATCAGATTGTTCAGGTACTTTGAGAGCCAGCGGGGCCGACTAGAAAGATACTGAAGCTTGGCCCAGTGCGAGATTCCCCCATCCCCATAGTTTAGCATAGATGGAGGAATCTGTTGCAATTATTCCATCTGACCATAGAAAATGTGCAGAAAATCTATAGGTGTATGGCCAGCTTAACAGTTCAGCTGAGCTGGTGATTGTACTCCACCCTTACAAGAAGCTATCTGCAGCCATTAGTCATTCCAACTGCCCTGATTACAGGGCCAGCCTCATAGGAAGCAATGCGTCCCGAAAATGAATTATGGTGCCCTACCTTCATACACTTTGCTATTTATAGCAAATGCTAATAATAGCAGTTGCCATTGTTTCTTCCATGGCAAATGTGGCCACCCATAAGAGATACAATGCCCCATCCCAATGCTCAGTGTCTGGAGCCAGCTCTGTCTGGTCAGAGAAAATTGAAGGTAAAGGCAACAAATGGAAGCTAAATACAACAGTACCATTAACAGCTTTATAGAAGAGAGATCAGATCAGTGGCTATCAAGTAATTTCTAAAGCTGGCCATACACTACTCGAATTAAACTGCAAGCACTCCTCTGTTCTAAAAAAGTTGACTTTTACTTGACATTTTTTGAAAAATTGTTGGCTAATCAGTTGCAATCACTTTTTATGTATTCTGACAGCCGCAGATGCAAAGTGTATGGCCAGCTTAAGGGAAGACGTCATACCCTGACCTCTGCACTGTGCGTCACACCCTGACCTCTGTACTCTGCATTACAACTGACCTCTGCAGCTCGGAAATAGAAAATTTGAAAATTGATTCAGCTGCAATAGGTCCTGCGCAGCAGCCTTCTGTGGAACCACCCAGCACCTGCTTATAGCGATTTGGTCCCAGCACACCATACCCGCCCCCCTCCCCCCCACTTGGAAGCGGGAGGCACTCGAGAAAGAATCTTGCACCAGGGCCCTGTGTTCCTTAGGTCCGCCACTGGTGAACAGAACACAGCTGATGGAACACACATGGTTTCTTTCAGAGAGAATAAATAAGAACTACATCCTCAGTGAAGACCATGCTGTGCACACGTCCCACAACTGGCCCTTGAGCACTGGAAACAATAAATGCAGTACAACCAGAAATCGCAACCTTAGAACTACAAAACCCGGTCAAGTACTAAAGCCACCACAATGTCTCAATTTATAGTATAAATATGCACCACATTATAGTTACTAATTATACTACAATGTTCTCTACATTTGAACACCATGAACATGCACAGAATTTTAATTGACTAAGATCACTAGGTGGTGCTAAAACAGGTCAAGGTCTATATTATTTATTTGGTTCCTCAAGGATCAAGATTTTGAATCTCTGTCTAACCCAAGCACAGGCATTTAACTCACCCCTCTACCTCCTACATGACAGCACTAGCTTGGCCACTCAGCCACCCAACCATGTCACGTGGGGGTGGGGAGAGAATTCTCAGTACACTCCACTCACTAACCAGTGGCAATGAGAAATAAGGAAATGAGAGATTCCAGCAGAGATAAATAAAATGAAAGAATCACTTTTTCTGGCCCATACATAGGCATATTTGTCCTGGGCAGGGCAGCAATCACAGCCAGTCACATCAGTCTCTGTACAGAGGAGCTTACACTCCAATGCACAATGGCACCAACTGTAGGGGGACTACAAATCCCAGCAATACATTTATACAGCAATGCAGACCAGTATATGAATTTGACTCTGGGCTTAGGGACCCGCTGGACACAGGGCTTAGCGGCCCGCTGGACGCAGGGCTTAGCGGCCCG